ATATTCTTTCAGCGCATTGTTAAGGTATTTAATATATTTGATGAACGCTGGTTGGGTTTTGTAATATTGCACGGCACTATTCATATATATGTGCAAACTATATAAGGACTTCGTTTGTCCTTTAAAAAGGTGCAGTCTGCTCCAACAGAATCCCGGAAAGTTTAAATTACATCTGTCTAAAGTTTAATAAGTCCCCAGTGCAGCTCTTTATATATGCCAAAAGGAATCGCTCCTAGAATCAATACATATTTCCTTCCTCAGCAAGTTCCCTAATGAACCCAGCCTTATATAATTCCAGGGAGCGTTAATTCTAGATCTTCCTTCTTAATGTAAAAAATAAAAAACTGCTTACACACAATATAATCATGAGTGAACTCTGCGTGCTTCTAAAATAAACTAGTTTAAAACACAAACAGGGGCGGACCTGAAAAATTTGGATAAAAAGGCAAAAAGGGCCCGGGGGTCAGTAGGGGCCCCCATGAGCTGCCCCTGGTATTTCCCCCCCGGCAACAAAATTTTAAAATAGGCTTTTTTTGAGTTTGGGCAAAACACAGGGGCCCCAAATTCCCTATTGACCGGGGGACCCATTGGTAGTTGTCAGTCCTCCCCTGTTTCTGTGGGTTCTTCAATGTAGGCCCAGATCTGTGGAAAGGTAAGACAAGTCTCGGGTGGCCTAAGCAAATAAGGCTACTCCTAATATTATCAATATGTTAAAAAAAACGTGAACTCAAAGATTGAACATTCGCTGTTATAGGGAATTTACCCCCTTCCTGCCCAGGCCAATTTTTCTAGCCTATTCGCGCTGTCACACTTTGAAGGACAATTGCGCGGGTCATGGAACACTGTAACCCCTATGAAAAAAAAAAAAATTTTTTTGACACAGATATAAAACTTTATTTTGGTGGTATTTATTCACCTCACTGGGATTTTTTTTTTTTTGCTATTTAAAAAAAAATGTTGAAAAAAAAGTGTTTTTTCTTATAAAATTTTGCAAATAAATAGTCTTTCTTACACAAAATTTTCTCTGTCCAAAATGTAAAAACAAAAAATCTTTTTTGTTAAAAAAAAAAAAAAAAAAAAACCCAAATTAGTTATATAACCACAAATTATAAATTTTCTAAAATGTTTTTTTACATTTTTATTTTATATTTTTTTATAATATTATTATGTTTTTTTTTAACATACTATCACCATAGTGACACTGTTACTACTTGTGGGGGGGTGATGAAGATTTTTTTTTTTTTTTTAAACTGATTACTGCTTACAACCCATAAAGGCTGTAAAAGCATATAATTTCTCCTTCTCTCTGGCTGCATTCTTGCAGCCATTGAGAACTACTGAGAGTGAGCTGTAATTGGTCACAGCTTGTCACATGGTACAAGGCTGTTGTGAATAGCCATGTACCATGTGATCTCTGTGATCATTAACAGATTTCACACCCCACATGTAGTCTATGAAGAAATTTATGTCAGAAGTGACATCTTGCTTACTACTATTCATGTGATCACTGATTGGCCAAATCAGTGATCACATGCTCGGGACCTCACACAGAGGTCCCCGTACTGCAGATTGGTGTTCCGCTGTGTCTCTCTTCTGACACAGCAGGCACCGGATCGTGGTGTTGCACGCTCCCAGGGAGCACGCACAGTCCAAAATGCCGGGCGCCGTTTATGAACGGTAACCCCGCTCCGTTAGCTGACACTGCCCGGGCCGTCTGGCGACGTTTATATAGCATGGGGGCCAGATGGGAAGTTTGTTAATAATGCACAGAGTAACCTCAGTACCCCGCAAAATTGATAATTGCCACCCCGGTGTCCCGTTGATATTCAGGTCATGAAGAATAGTAGCGCATTTCTGTAAAAAAGCGATAGACGCGCAAATGGTAGATGTATTCCTCATGGAAGATATAAAGCCTTAAAAAAGCGATAACCTGGCATTCTTGCACATTTAAGGGTGTCCCTCAGTCCACAGGTTGGGCCCGAAAAAATGCGTGTGCATAATAGAAGACTATGGAAAAATCTGTGGGTACATTGTGGCTGTACCCGAAACTGCAGCGGGGCCTAATGTGAAAGTGCCCCTAATATTATATATATTGCCAAAAATATTGGGCCGTTTACCTTTGCACACACATGAACTTTAATGGGCATCCCAGTCTTAGTCCGTAGGTGTTTCAATATTGAGTTGGCCCCCTCCCAACCTATCACCCATAACGGCTTGCAATTCTTCTGGGAAAAGGCTGTCCCACAAGGCTTAGGAGGGTGTCTATGGGAAGGTTGGACGACATTCTTGTCCAGAAAAAGCACATTTGTGAGGTCAGGCATCTGATGTCGGTAGCACGAGGAGGCCTTGACTCGCAGTAAGGTCTCCACCTCTGATAGATTCATCCCCTAAGGTGTTCTAAATAGGTTGAGGTCAGGACTCAGGACTTGTGCAAGCCCAGTCAAGTTCCTCCACCCCAAACTCGCCTCATCCATGTCTTTATGGACCTTGCTTTGTGCACTAGTGCGCAGTCATGTTGGAACAGAATGGGGCCTATCCCCAAACTGTCTTCCCACAAAGTTGGGAGGCTATGAAAAATTGTCCAAAATGTTCTTGGTATGCTGACAAAAAAAAATAAACATTAAGAAAAACAAAAATAAAAAAAAAAAAAAAAAAAAAAAAAAAAAAAAAAAAACAATAAACGCCTTAAGTGTTCCGCTTCACTGGAACTAAGAGGCCAAGTCCTCCTGAAAAACAACCCCACACCATAATCCCCCTCCACCAAACTTTACACTTGGCACAATGCAGTCAGGCAAGAAGCTACTGTGTTGGGAGTGCGGTCCCTGCATGCGCTCAGGTGCTAGGGATCGGCGTGAGCTCCTGATGCTTACTTGCGATCGGATCATGTGACCGCGCTATGACACCCAATCACGCAGTGGTCACATTACCCGAAAGGCCCCTCCGCGCGCCCTCCTGGTTTTTTTAGAAACCTTAAGGGCTGGGAGGGTTAATATTCAGTCGGTCTCTGTCTGTCTGCGATGTCTGCTGTCTATCTATCTATCTATCTATCTATCTATCGTTTGATCGCTATCTATCTATTATTTATCTTCTTTATAAATCAGACTCATATCTATCTATTTATCTATTTAATCTATCTATTGATCCTATCTTCTATAATTCAGTCTCATTATCTAGTCTATGCTATCTATCGCAGATCTACTCTAGCTATCTGGGGTCTATCTATCTATCTAATCTTTATAAAATCAGACTCATTCACTATCTATTTATTCTATCTGTCTTCGTCTGTCTGTCTGTCTATCGATCTATCCTCTAATCTCTATATGTTTTTAGCCTTCAAAGACAAGAATTGAGGGTTAGACTTTCTTGAGAACGTTGTTACCAAAATGATTCAATCTTGTTATTGGCATATTGTCTCTTGTATGATTAAAAGCCCTTGAACAGGAAGTAGGACCATTACATGTAATTAAGACTATTGAATGGAAGGGGCAGGAAGTGGGATTCTTTTCCTTGCAAGGATGTCCTGTGGTTAGTCACCTGTGACATTACATTGAAAGTGATTGGCTCGATGGCCGATAACCTCTGACAATGGACACGATATGGCTCCTAACCACAAGTCACAGGGTCTAAATCATAAATAATGTTTTGTCAATTTCATCATTCGGACGCTACATCTGTCACATACCCTTAGATTGTACGCCCCTTGACGGTTAGGACTGACGCTGAATGTAATCCAATATATATGTAAAGCGCTGCGTAAATTGACGGCGCTATATAAGTACCAGAAATATTATTAATGTAAAATAATAATAATAACAGGAAAAAGGATGAGGTCCTGAGGATAGCCGTGATTGCCTGAAAGAAATCATTTTTACTCTATGGACTTGGGATGGAACAACTCAAAACATTACAGGAGTGTGACCCCCAATTATGAGTTTTGGACTTGACTAAAAAAAACAAAAAAATAGGTCATCCCAAACCCTCCCTGGTAGATTTTTTCTACACAACTCCCGCGATGATATACTACTTACGAAATATTACGTGTCGGCATTTCCACCTCAAGTGGAGATTTTTCCAGCATGCCGGTGGAGACCATAAACAAGCTTTTCTGATACAAGTGTCCCCCTATTGTTATTACATTTGGATTACATTACTATGGGCGCCTTTTTTTTTTCACACTGCCCCATTACTGGTTATTTTTATGTGTCCCCTTTTGGGGTAAAAACACACCATCGTGGTTAAAATAGTACATGAAAAATGATCTGCTGTTAAATCCGTATGAATTCTTCACAAGGGGCCAATGTGCTGCAGATCGCGGTGCAATTTTTTAACCACTTGTGCTGTCCAGCTCCTATCACGAAGGTGTACTCGCTACAAGGGGGCCCATCCTGTGCCAAAATCACATACATACAGGGGCGGACTGACAATTCACACTGGGCCCCCGGGCAATAGTAGATGTCAGGGGCCCCATGTGTCTTGCCCATACTCAAAATAGCCTTATGGAAATAAAGGTACCCAAGGGGCATTCTCAGAGGGGCCCCCTACTGTTTTACCCCGACGGGCCCTCGGGCAAGTCCCGAGTTTTCCAAATGGCCCAGTCCGCCCCTGCATACACACACACCACCAACACACACCCACCCAACCACACTCCACAAAAAAATATATTTATATATAAATATAACTAAATGAAAATAAACTTCTAGCCATCTCCTCGATCCCCGCCGATGATGGTCCCAGGGCGCAGGCGCAGTGCACCGGGCACTGTGACAGGACACATGTCGGGGCAACTAGGACCGGGCCGGCGCGCGGCCGTTCGAGTTCCAGCTGCATGCGCAGTAGAAAGCCGCGGTCCGCCCGCTGGTCAATCCAATGGCAACAGCGCAGGGCGGGATATTTAAATGGCCCTGAGCTGTCATTCAGTGCCTTCTGGTCTTACCCTGCATCCTGTGAACCTGTGAACCTGTACCTGTAAGTTTTGACCCGGATTGTACCTGACCTTGCTGTTTCTCTCCTATTCTGACCCTTGCTTTGCCTGACCTCTCTCCTGAATGCCCCAGATTGGATTTTGACCTGCTGTTGCTGACCAACCTGGCGTGTGACCCGACCATACCTATGCCCGCTGCCCACTTGTACCTTGCCGTTTCTCACTCTATCCATCCATCCATCCCTTGCAGTGGGGTCTTCTGACCTCCTCACATCAGACTCTTCCCCGTGGGAGCCCTTGGCGCATACCACTACCACTGACGACGACGCACCCAGTAGCCACGACCTGGTCTCGGGGGCTCCAAGTCCATCCCCACCATCAGGGGCCCCTGGTGAACAAGCACCCTGGGACTTAGATTCCGTGCGCTGGGGACGCCTATTTCAGTGGAGTGCTAGTGGTACCATGCCAGGCGGTCCCTTACAGTGCCAGATGGCCATGACTGAGTCTAGAGGAGAGGGCCCTCGCCGCTTGAGGAGATCTGCAGGCACCTGTCTAATTTGACACAGGCCGTATCGGCCCTGCAGGATAGATGTCAGCAGATTGCAACCCAATTCCAGACCTGCACTATATCCGTTCCTGCCCCTTCACAGGCCGCGGTCCCCGCACCCCCAGCCGTAGCAGCCCTGTGCTGGTTTCTGGGGCATCCGCACCACTCCTCCCGGCCGGCCGAACCCCGAGTACCCTTACCGGAAACGTTTTCACGGGGACCTACAGCACATGCTTCAGATCATTCCGCGAGTCCTGTCTCTCTATTTTGAGTTACAACCCCGGACCTTCGTGACTGAATCCGTGAAGGTGGGGTTCGTCATCTCCCTCCTGCAGGGTGAACCCCAAGACTGGCCCACCGATTACGGGGAAAAAAATGACCCTCACCTCCTTAGTTGACAGTCGGTTTTGATGATGGGAATGGCCATTTTTATGATGACCCACACAGCGGGCAGCTTCTGCTGAAGCTACTTTGTACACGCTCCGGCAAGGCCACCGAGCGGCATCCAGGAGTACGCCTGATTTAGGCGCTGGTGGATGGGGGACAACACGCCTGGAACGAGTTTCGCACTCCTGCATCAGTTCCGTATAGGCCTATCAAGAAGGCCTGAAAGATGAGCTCGCCCCCGGGTGGAGGTACCTGAGACTTTAGAGGACTTAATAGCACTGACCATTAAAATTGACCGTAATAGACTGCGGGAACGCAGGTTTGAGAGGTCCGGCCAGGTTCATGGAAATCCCTGGGGGTCATTTCAAGGTCCCAGTCAAGCACCTAGGCCAAACATCCAAAAACCGGCCACCTGGAGATATCCCTGAACCCATGCAACTCGCCTGGCTACGGCCCTAAACTATCTTCAGAGGAACATCCAGCGCAGACGATCCCAGAACCTGTGCCTCTACTGATTGTGGTGAAGCTGGTCATATGGCACGATCCTGCCCGCAGAAACTGAGTAAGTGCACCTCTTCTTCCTTATCCATTGGCAATGTTGGTCCATCCCAATACTTAGTGGTGCCCCTTTTCCTTTCAGCTTCCAGAAAGGACCGTGGAAGTATCGGCCATAATTGATTCGGGGCATGCAGCTGCTTCTTGGACATTAATTTTGCTCACCAGCAGGGTATTCCTCTCCAATTTAAACAGAAGGGGTTCAATATTTTATTTGGCCGACGGTTTCCCGAATAAAAAATCGGGGGTAGTGAACCAGGAAACCCCCCTCCATCCATCACCACTGTCATTGCCGGCCAGCACCAGGAACTCCTCCGCCTGGATGCTATAGCTTCACCCCTCTTCCCAGTCATTCTGGGGCTCCCATGGTTACGGGGCCCATAACCCCCAGATTGACTGGGAGACCGGAGAGTAAATCTCGTTCCCTTCCCCATACTGTCGGATATACTGCCGCACTTCGGGCCCCGGGGTCCCCCCAAATCCTCCTGTGCTCTGAGGGGGAAGCTGAATTAAAACAAGTAATCCCCTCCTGCAGTCTACCATGAGTTTCTAGATGTGTTCAGCAAACGGGGAGCCGAATGACTCTACCCCCCCCCACCGCCCTTATGACTGTCCCGTTGACCTGTTACCCGGCTTCAGAAATTCCTTTTGGGCGAATCTTCCCCCTTTCAGAGCTCCGAATTGGGGGCCCTAAAGGAATATATCGAGGACAGCCTCTTCATCCCTCACTCTCCACTTCACCGGCGGGGGCGGGAATTTTCTTTGTTGAAAAGAAAGACAAAACCTTAAGGCCGTGTATCGATTACAGGGAATTGAACAGGGTCACGATAAAAAGAACCGTTACCCACTGCCCCCCTCTAGTACCAGAGTTGTTCCAAAGTTTAAAAAACCACAGCAGTGGTTTTTACCAAAAGCTGGATGCTGAGGGGGGCGTACAACTTGATTCGCATAAGGGAGGGGGACGAGTGGACGAGATGAAACGGCCTTCCGCACCCGCTTCGGCCATTTTGAATATTTTGGTCATGCCGTTCGGGTTGTGTAATAGCTCCGGCCATCACTTTCAACACTTTGTGAATGATAATATTTTTTTAGGGACTTTCTGGATGTCTTTTGTTATCGTTTATTTAGACGAATTCTGATTTTTTCCCCTTCTTTGGGGAACACAGAATACATGTAGCAAAGTATTATTGGGGCGATTGCGGCAGCATGGGTTTGTACGCCAAGCAGAGGGGATTTGTTTTGAACAATCCAATTGCCAGGGTCCGCCCGCTGGCCCTTCCCTTTGCAACAATTTGGGGCGGCTCAAACGCCGGACACTTTTCCAGATACCGGGCGGGCCGGACTGACAGGACTCAGATTTTTGCATGCGCAAATAGTAGTTTTGCGGGTCGCGCCTTGCGGGCGACCAAATGACTGCCCGGGGGCTCACGATTATTTTTTTGGCGGGCCAAGGGGAGTGCAGGGGGATATTTAAAAAAGGCACGGCCCTGTCATAAATTGCCGCAAGTCATAGATCTGGGCTAAAAGGACCTGTGTTTACCCGTGAATGTGGATTACACCAGTATTGTTTTCATTTCCTCCTTAAAGAAGCTTACCCCAATAGTTATCCTCTTATTTTCTGGAACGTTCCCCTAAATTGACCCCTGGATTTCCCTACTAAACGCTGCCATTCTCCTGTCCCGACACATCTCGGCTTTTTGAACTTCTGGGTTGGACCCCCGGTAACGACCCAGCGTGCGACCCGTGACCAAATTTGCCTAAACTTCCACGCACCTCCGTCTTTTGAATATTTGGAATGCGATTTGTTGTTTAATTTTGGAACCGGCCACGGTGACAACACTTTGTGAATTTTTTGCCAGGGACTTTTGGCCTGTCACCCTGTTATCGTTACTTCTATTTAGAGACATTCTGATGGTATTGCTCGAGTGGCCCGTGGGAAACACAGAATACATGTTGGGATTGGGGCGAACTTAGCCCCACGCATCCGGGTGATACGCCAAGGGCATTGAAATGTTGTTGCCACCTGAACAATCCCAGCATTGCCTTCTTGGGCCTGATTATCTCCACCGCGGGGGTCGCGATGGATCCCCAGAAAGTCGCTGCAATACATGGATTGGCCTGAACCCACGGGGACAGGAAAGGCGTCCAACGATTTAATATCGGTTTTGCAAATTTTTTACCGGAAGTTCATCAAGAACTTCTCGGGTCTGGTCTCCCCCATTACTCAGCTAACCAAGCTGGGAACCCCGGTTCAGATGGACACCAGAGGCGCAGGAAGCTTTTTGAAGCCTTGAAGAAGCTGTTCACCTCGGGCACCCATTTTGGGTCATACCCAGACGCCGCCCCCTGCCCTATATCTTGGAAGTAGATGCATCGAGAATGCGGTAGGTTCCATCCTCTCCCAGCGGAAAGGGCACCAAGGAACTGCTCCATCCTGTACAGCATTCTTCTCACGGAAGCTTACCCCAGCGGAGAGAAGAATTATGATATCGGTGATCGAGAGCTACTGGCGATCAAAACGGCGTTAGAGGAATGGAGGTACCTGCTGGAAGGTGCGGTGCACCCCATCTTAATATTTACTGACCAAGAAAAACTTAGGTATCTGAGAACACCGCCAAGCGTCTACGCCCGCGACAGGCAAGATGGGCACTATTCTTTTCAGATTCAACTTCCACATTACGTACCGGCCCTGGATCAAAGAACACTAAGCCAGATGCGTTATCACGTTTGTACGAGGACGCCAAGGAGATCCCAGTACCCCGACACCATCCTGTCCTCGGCGGGTAACTTCTTGGTCCCTTCAGTCGGACCTTCGTTCCAAGCTAATGGAGGCATCCACAACTTCTCTACCCAGGGGCGGAGGGCCGCTCCCAGAACAAACAAGGGGGGACTCCTATGGAGGGAAGATCGAATTGTGGTGCCGGAAGGAAGCCCGAACCCTGGTCTTGGGGCATTGCCATGACCACCACTCAGATGGCGGGGGCACTTTGGCCCAGAAAAGACCCTGGAACTTCTCCGACGCTCATTCTGGTGGCCAGACATGGCTAAAGATTGTAAGGGCTATGTAAGGTCCTGTATCACCTGCCAGAAGAACAAGCCAGCAAGAAACAAGGTTTGGGGTCTGCTGCGACCCTTACCGATTCCTGAACGGCCTTGGCAAAAGATCTCATTAGATTTTAATAGTCGAGCTTCCGCCATCACTAGACCACACGGCAATCCTGGTGGTCGTGGACCGCTTGTCCAAGATGGCCCACTTCATCCCGTTGAAGAAAACCCCCGGCGGGCGGCGCCGAGACTGCGCGAGTCTTCATTCGTGAGGTAGTAAGGTTGCATGGGGTCCCCGAAGACATTGTCTCGGACCGGGGGGTCCAGTTCACGTCAAGATTTGGAGAGCACTGTGCAAAGCCCTGGACATCAAATTGTCTCTCTCCTCTGCGTTCCACCCTCAAACTAACGGTCAAAACCGAAAGGACCAATCAGACCCTAGAGCAATACTTAAGATGCTATACTTCATTACTCAAGATGACTGGATGCCACTTCTACCCCTAGCGGAATTTGCGTACAACAACGCCCGCCACTCAGCGACAGGGACAGTCCCCGTTCTTTTTTTGTCCGCCAACTAATGGCTTTCACCCAGTCTTCCTCCCGGATTTGGTCTCGGAATGCCCAGTACCAGCAACGCAAGATGTGGTAACGTTTTCTTCTGCCGCGAACAATAAGAAGCTTCAAGAGGCCATAGTCGGGCCCAGGAAGACTACAGGAGGAAGCATTCAAACAGGAAACGGAGAGGAGATCTGGTTGGTACTGCGGCCTGGGGAGAAGGTTTGGCTAGCGACGTCCAATTTAAAGATGCTTTGCCCGTCAAAGAAATTGGGACCCAAATTTATAGGCCCCTTCTGCATTAAACGGATGGTTAAACGAAGT